AAATAGTCTTGCTGGATAGAAATACAGCAGAGAAATGGCACAGCAGGAAAAGCAGGGGGAAGGTCAAGTGAGCTTTGAGACGGGAGAAATCCCTGCAGGTCCAGACAACAATGAGTTAGAACAGAGCTAGAAGCTGATGACAGAGAGGGGGAAGAAAGGGAGAATTTCTGGGGCCCCGGCTCTGATTTAGGCAACAAGGCACGGCACTCAGAAGACCGGCTTTAGACAGCGGCGCGCCTGATCACCGATGACTAACGACCGGGCGCAGAGCGTGGCAAGGGAGGCGGGTAAGAAGGTGGAAGTCTGCAGAAATTCTCTCATTCCAGTTTTTCAGTGAGGTTACGAAGCAGGGATGGGGAAGAGATCCTGGGTATCTGAGGAGATAAGAAACAGTATGAAATCGTCTTCAGAGAAAGTGAGAGAGGGGATGGAAGGGGGACACATCTTGGCCACTTAAGGTTCACAATCACGAATTTAAAGTAAGTCATTTTGCTTTCTCCAGCCAGGGTGAGCCACAGGTGCAGGCCAGGAGCACGAGTGTGAGATTTAATCGGTGTTCTAGTGGTTCTGTCGAGCAAGGATTACAAAGCAACACAAGAGCAACACAAGAGCGTGGGGGTCAAAAGAAATGAGTCTAAGGGGTGACTGAAGGTAAGTAAGCCAAGGGGAGGGCTGAGGGTATTAGGAGGGAGGAGTGGTGGGATGGATGGGTTGTAAATCCTGGCGGGGGGGGGGGGGGGGGGGGTAGTTCCTTCATCTGGACAATCAATGCCTTAACGGGAACCATTTCTTTGTATCTCTGTTCAAGCATAGTATTTTGCACAGGATACTGAACTTATATATGCCAAATAAAAGAATAAATGTTTGTTAAAAAGCAGTTGAATGTTAGCACAAAGTAGGTTTGAACCCATTGGTGAAAGCTTTTTACTAGTTGTCCCCCGCCCCCCATCTCTTCAAAGGAGGAGCCAATTTGCCAATTTGCTTCGAGACAGAATTTTTTTTTTTTATGTTTTGGTTTTATTTTTGAGAGAGAGACAAGAGCGTGAGCAGGGGAGGGGTGGAGAGAGAGGGAGACACAGAATCCGAAGCTGACTCCAGGCTCTGAGCTGTCAGCACAGAGCCTGAAGCGGGGCTCAAACCCACAAATTGTGAGATCATGAACTGAGCCGAAGTGGGACACTGAACTGACCGAGCCACCCAGGCACCCTGAGAGACAAAATATTTTTTGAATGAAATACATTTTTATTGCCAAGTAGTATCTTTAAATATAACTTATCTTATTTTTAGTTTTCTAGAACTTATAAAATGGAGTAGAACCACTGATTTGCTAATTAGAAGTTTTACAGCTGAAACTTTAGTGTTGCTTTTCCCTTTCTCTTTTACTTGAGGGTATCCTTTTCGTGTAGTTGATGAGCCTTAATATAAAAAATTCTCTAATCAAATTCCCAACCCCTTGATTATGGAAAGCCAAACTGGAAATGGAGAAAAACAAATCAGCTTCAATACATGATAAAACACTGATGCATTTTAAATTGCAAGCCAAGTTGCCCAGAAAGCTGTAACACACTTGGCTGTGTTTGGGAACGAGGATAAACCCAACACACACACAATAGAGATTGTAGCAGCTGAATTTCAGAGTGTAACTTGATTTTCAAAACTCAACCCCACGTTTATGGCATGAACTTAGAAGCGAGAACAAAGGGGATCAATTAGCTAATGAACTAAAAACTTCCATAAAGCATGAACATCACGCAGAGAAAACAAGCAGAAAGCCTACTATGAAAAATTACTGAAGTGTGATTATAATTTTTAAAAACGTATAATGTCTTTTAAAAGTCTACAAGAGAACATACTACAATATTACTAGTTGTCTTTCTACTTTTATGTATTTTGCCAGTTTTCTAGATTGGATGCTATTTTTAGAAGAGTCAAATACAATTCATAAAGAAGCACTGACTTCCTCCAAGCACATGGCAACCTAGTGAAGTCTACTGTGTTGGACAATAGTTTTATATATGGTCACCACACCCGACAAATTCTGTAGCACTATTATGCCATTTATAAGCCATTATGTGGTTTAAGATCCAGAGTTCTGGCTATTTCCAGTAAATCTGATGTAAGCCTGTAAAAATGTGTCTTCTTCTTGTGGTAGTAAAAATAAATTGGCCCAAATACTATTCTTTTGTGTAACAAAAATTAATATTTTTCAAATGTGAAATAGGCGTGCAAATGAAAATTGTATTATTGGAAAGGTTTACACAGCATTTTAGAAAAAAGGTAAAATGTAGAAATTACCAGAAAAATAGCATTTTTTAAACTAAGAAAGATAGTCTCTTATTTTCTTTATGAAAAACTTGTTTACTGGAAAGTGACCTTTCAGATCAAACAAAACTCACACAAATAGCTCCGTAAGAAGTTTCCTAAATTGCTATAGTAATGAATGACTGCCACTGAAGATAAAACTATTTTCATGAACCTTCATACATAAATCTTCATGTCTAATTTCACATCTCTTAAGTGTAAATTCAAAGATCAAGCTGAAGATCACTGAAACAACAGGCACACAGTTGCAGAACTGATGAGGATTTGTTGCAGTCCTCATTAGATTAGCTTCAGACATGAAGGAGCAGCAAAAATCATAATTATTGCTTATTCATCAATAAGAGATTCTGGTTATTACTGCAGAGAGAAATAGGACTATTGTTATGCTGACTATGAAAATTAACTGCTAATCTACAGAAGTACAGCTTTCTCTATGCTGCTGGAGTATGAAGAGATTCACTCTACAGGTCTTCGTCAAGTTGGTTAGTTTTCTTCTTTTGAAAGTTCAGACCACACAAACGCTTGAGGTGTGAGGAGTAGATGGCATCCTTCTCAGTGACATCAGCTTGTCTTGTTGCACTAGGTCTCGTTTTCTTTTCTGTATTATTAAAAACTTGAAGGTCTCAATTTAAAGTCTTCCCTTACCATCCCCAACCCCTCACCAATTTCAAAGCTGAAAGACTGACATTCTCTTTCTGGCCCCTAAAATCCAAGTGTTCCGACGGAAAGAGGACCCTTTCCTTCACTCAGTCTTTTCTTAAACAAACAGAAAGTTGTGTCCTACTTGCAGAATAATTTTATGAATGTCTCAATTCTTATACTTACTAAGCCTCTTTATTTAATGGAACAGTAGAAAATAATCAAGCCCTGATAATGGTGCAAGTTCTGTCACGAAATACAAAGCATTTAATAAGGCCACTAGAAAACCTACCTCATTATATAAACTAAGGGCAGAAGAACTGAAAGGAGAGGTAAAAGATGATGTGGCTCTTACATCTCTTGTGGGCGTTACTCAGTAATTATTAATTTTTCCTGATTCAATTTTTTCCTTCCTAATTTTAAACTAACGTATTCAACATGTACACTCCAGGCATAAATGGAACTCCCTCGACATTTATATTATGATGATCATTTAGTAAGATCAAAATGATTAAATGTCAAAACTGGGCAAAATATTCTTATAGCAGCTATATCTGAGATCTCCAGTATCTTCGGTTGAACATGATCATTAATAGCCAGCCCTTCAGGTAAGGAAAATCACGCACCACAAAACCAAGAGCCAACGGACCAAAGGATAAATTACACATGGTGTTAAAACTGACTCTTTGGAAAAGCTTATGTTACGGGACAACACTGATTAAAAGTATTCTTAAAATCCCAAACTTGCTGGTTAGAAATGACAAAGAACGAGTCCCCAAACAAAACTTCTAAACATTTCCTTATGACTTAAATTGTTATTTTCTTCCAAGCGTCAGAATGGATCAGAATTGCACTTTTCTCTAAGTAAGAAAGGTAATCAGATTAGACATGCTTCTAGAGCTTCCTGTTGCCACAGCAGGACAACACAAAATGGACTTTTAAGAAACAGAGGCTATATAGTTTTTTTAAGAAACAGAAATTGAGATGATGTTTTCTGAACACCTTTCTAAATCACAGAATACAACTGAAATAAAAAGCACGGGAACTGTATTCCTCCTTGAAGATACTAGGCACACCACGAAACCACCATTTCTAACTTCTGTGGTGAATTTTTCAAGGGCAACAACGCTATCACAAGCTGTATTTCAAATAAAGTATCAAAGATTTCAAAACGAATTTATAGTTTTTCTTAAAAGATAATTTAAGTGACCAGCTCCTAAAACAGACTTGCCAATTTTGGATAAAATTCAAATACAAAATTTCTCTGGATGAACCAAAGAAAACTTGTATAAGATAAGAAGTGAAGTCACTGAACACCACCTAAAACCAAACCTTAGTCTTGCCTTTCATCCCTAGGGTTATCAACAGTCAGAAAGTGCACCCTATTTTAGTCAAGCACACTTGCTTATTGCATTTCCACCGTATCGTCTCAAATATACAAATAACTTTCTGAGGCTTCTGAACAAGACTATAATCTAAGAGATGTTAATGAAGAGACAAAGGCCCTCTTAAAATGGCTAATGCATCTTAAGAAATCACGACTTTGAAATCCCTGCCTCCTGTAAGAAAGACACGTGACAACTTCAGATTACAAAGAAGAGGTTACTGTGGCAATGTAGTTGAAAAAGCGAGAGAGAAAGAAGCCCGGTAATTAACTCACAGACATGAAGAAGCTCAAAACTCTTTTAACTTTAAAAAAGATTTTTCTACTTAAATAAATTTAAAAAAAAAAAAAAAAGATTTTTCTATCATTTCACCAATAATGTTGCTGTCCCTGTTAATCTTCATGTATAACATAAAAGTCAACTGTATAGATATCAGTTTTCTAGACCCTAAGGGTATCTTCTAAGTATTCACAACAGTAAGTAGGAAGTCACTAAGCGAGGCATTTACATGCTGAAATCTACAGATTTTTTATATGGTACTATGACCTCAATCAGAGTAACTAATAAGTCTGTAATTCGTCAATTAACTTTTAAAATAGAAAATTATTTTAGAAGTGTTTTTAGGTAGTAATCACTAGCTGAAACTCAAGTTACCTCACATTCCATCCGCAGTAATGCACCAAGTAAAGGACCTCTCCACCTTCGACATCAGAATCTTTAATACTAGCTTCATACATTTTTTGATTTTTCCCTCGTCCATACCGCACTTGGACTTTCATGCCTGGTGGATAGCATTCAAACTCCTCGTCCTCATCGTTGTCATCATCCTCTTCATCCTCTTCCTCCTCCTCCTCCTCCTCTTCTGCTTCTTCATCATCTTCATCTTCCTCTTTATTCGTTTCATCTCTTGAAAGGTTTAAAAAATTGCAGTTAATAAAAGACACTTCATAAGCTTTTCAGTTCCAAACCACATAAACTGATAAAAATCGTGGCTGTGATTGCTCCGGGAACGGCAGGTTCCATGTGCATGAAATTCTGGGTTGCAATGTAACATTAAAAACCAAAACTGTATAAGATGACTGTGGTTATAGAGAAATACATTTAGAGGAAATGAAGATTGAAAAATGCATTAAAAGAAAATTTCCAACAGCCGGAAGAAGAGAAGTTGTATAAGAAACTATTAAGGTCAACTTTAACAACTTTTTCATGGTTTATTATGAAAGTGATTTACACAAACGTGTTGACAAAAACACAAATCATTTACACCTCATAGCCATTTCCAGACTAAAAAGTATTTTTTATTCAAGTATTTCCAGCCCCGGGGTGATGAAAACAAAAACTTTTACTAGCCAACAGCTAGTCTTATTGAGTTCAAAAGGTGCTCCAACCAGAATTTCAAATGTTATGCTAACTGAAATATGATTTTACCTTTCACAGGACTATTTGACTAACTTCACATCAATATCACATCATTTTTTTCTTTCTATTCTTCTAAACTTTGCTACAATTTCTGTTTCTTTACCGCGTATAAAGTCTTTTACCGACTCTCTCAACTTCGAAGTTCCAATGAAATAAGTATAAGACAGGCCAAGTCCAAGTAACACAAAACTAAAAGGGAAATCATTCTAGAAGCAGCACTGTTGCCCATTTCAGTCTTCTCAGTATTGCGCACTTTTTAAAACTGAGCATTCGCATTCATTTTATATTAGCCACAAATCCATATTAAACAAGTTGGAGAAAATCTTCCAAACACTAGATTTAGTTTTTAAAAGACCTCAATACGAAATTCAACTATATTTAGTCCCAAGATAAATACTATGTATTTACCCTGCACAGCAGATAAAAACTATGTCTAGATCTAGTACAATAGTTTTCTCTCAAAAAGACTCCATCACTTTAGAGCTGACAAATAAAGATTATAAAACAGAAACTACATGACAGTTACATAATTAAGCTTTAAAAGTTCATGAATGTAATATTTATATAAAAAGCCTTTTCCACCGATCATTTGTTTCATAATCTTATACGCAACCTTTTTAGCAATAACATACTTCATCACTCCTAATTATGCAATTACGTAAGCAACAGAAACAATCTATAGTAATACGAGCCACACTAAAATGTTTTTATTCTCCTACCTCTTTCCTTCTATATTGTGGGGCAGGAGGGGCGAAGGGAAGCCTAATAGTCTGTGAAATTAAGTGTAAGTTTACAAAAGTAACAAATGCATCAGTTTTCTCTGAAATACATCACAAAGTCTACAGAATCTCAAGAATTATTTCTATTTTTAAAGACTCATTTATATTCAAATGAACAGGTACTTCAAAATTAAGACCTAAATAAACCAGCTATAATTGGAGATAAAAAACTAGAACTCTATTATTAAAAATACATGAACATGTCTGTACTGAAGAAATAATTATTAGTAAGGCTAAAATATCTAAGAAATTACCAGAGAGGGTATTTTGGATGATAAACTATTATTAACAACTTTAAATAAATGTTCGTATGTATTTAAAAAATTAAAACAGTTAAGACATTTTTTTGGAAAGAATATTCCTTGTTTAAATCATAAGCTTGTATCTCTGTGTATCAGGGAGAAAAGGAAGTGTATTCTAGTGGCCACAACAAAAGTTGTTTATTATGTGCCAAAGATATTTGTTATGTACCTCAGAATGATCATATCAGAGAAAGGAGAGACACAGAATAAAAAGTCTAAGAGTTTTTAAATGAAAACAACTTCTAAATTGTGTCTTACATTACACAATGCTCTGAGCACAACTGGTTCATGCCAGTAAGAAGCACAATCCTACTTTAGTGCAGCCTGGCAGTCTTTAATTTTATCTGGAGTAATACTCTAATACTCTGTATTAATAAAGCAATCAAAAATTGAAAACAAAAGTTTCACACTGAGTGTCAACCTCAGACACCAACCAAATCAAAAACACTTAAACAGTGTACTAAAGTTTAAAGAAGCAAACAACACAATTGCTATCAGTCAAATAAAATATTCTACTCCTTTCTCTAATAATTCACTGGCAAAATCAAAGGTAAAACGCACTAAATCAGACACAGAATGCCAACAATGATACCTTCTGGAAGTATAAAATGTAATCAGCATATAGATTTGTAAAAATTAAGGTGATGTGGATCTCTCTCTCTCTCTCTCTCTCTCTCTCTCTCTCTCTCACACACATACACACACGCACATCTTTTAAATAACTATTATTTTGGGAAACCAAATGTATCAATATTTTTCATCTGAATTCACAAATACCAAATTTTCCCAGTTTGATGTCACACTCCATACAATGGAACAAATTAAAAAAACAACAACTTTAACTTATTAATACTTTCTATGGGCCAGGCATTGAACAGGGCATTTTACCTAAATTAATTTATTTAATCTCCTTTACCTAGACTATGAAAAAAGGACATGGCAAATTCCTGGCAGTAACTAGTAATTACTTAGAGAAACTTTATATGCTAGAGAAATACTCACATATGATTCTTTATAACTATCAAATTTTCTATTGCACTTATCTAATAAAACTCAGAAATCAATCTTGGACATTCCCAACACATAACACTACCAAATTAGTGCTGTCGGGCTAGGAAAATTTCAGTTTGTAGTATGATACATTAATAAATGTATGTAGTAAATTAAAAAGCCATAGAGTTGAAGAATTTTTTAAAACCTACAATATATAGTTTACACCAGAAAATAAATTGAAACACCAACTTGAAAAAATAAGATAATTATTAGTGACAAAGAGAAAACACAGGCTTATCACAATGCCTCCCACACAGCAGATATTCCAGAAATACATGCAAATTTAAAGATCAGATTTTTAGACAAAAAGCCGAATCCTTACTAAGTTTCTCAGGAGCTGAAATAGTCTCCAGCAACAGCAAGGAGTACCTTGAAATATACACGTGCACACAGGACTATAACCAAGTATAATGAAAAAACACTTCGACTATATTCATCTAAACCCAGGTTTCTCCTCCCATGTTTATCTGTATGCTGCGGCCAAAATTTCAGAGGACACTAAAATAATCAAGAGATTTTAGGCAAAAAGCTACATACTTACTAAGTTTCTTAATAGCTGAAATAATCACCAACAGCAGTAAGGAGTACTTGATATAGACATTTGTACAACAAAGATATATAACGAGGTATACTAAACAAGTACCTTTCCCTAAATTTGCAAAGCGTATTTTGCTTCCCTTCCCTGCCTATGTGCATGCTGTGGCCAGATTTCAGAAACCACTAAAATGATCAAAAACATTTGGTTGTACTTATTTAAACGGACCATTGACGATGGGGATGTGTAGGGTTTTTTTAAACCTCAGCGATGACTAGATGCCAAAGATCGTCTACAAAATCCAGGGGTCCACTGGCAGTGCATAAATTACATTGCTGAATAAACAGTTCATCATTCCAAACTGACCAAAATGAGGAATTACTACTGTCACAGAAAACACAATATAACAATCCAGGCCTTGTGAAAGCTAATTATGAGCACTTTTCCATTCTTATTTTTTGCTTAAGAAATTAACACAATTCTTAAAATCTAGAGCCAACATACCATCTAGAAAACATTACATACAGAAAGCCATCTTCCCAAATTTCTATCATCTGGTTATTCAGCAGAGCTTAATGTAGTAAGAAGTATTTTTCTAGCTCAAAATTTCATAAATTTCCATGATGAGAGCAAGAAGAATGGATCAAAAACATGATCTTTTGCTACAAATTTGCATTAGTAGGGTCTCTGAAGGAGGCAAATGGTACTTACATACTAAATGCAAACCACTCAATTACACTATATTTTGTCAAATTTAGGTTCAAACACGCACACACACAAAGGGCAAATTACAAGAACTCATTCAGCCAAAAAATGCATCTTAACCAAAAACAAATTTCTTACCCAGATTTTGCTTTTTCTTCTTCAGCTTCTACCTTTATGCTGAGGGACTCATCTACCCCAGTTGTCTCCTCATCTTTGTCCTCCAGATTCTCATTTTCTTCTGTTTTTTTCATGTTAACTTCTTTTTCCTGATCGGACTGTGTAGGTATAGATTCTAATAAATTCTTTTTACTTCCCTAGAAAAAAATCAGAGGAACTAAACCAACAAAAGTAAAAACTGTCAACCTAATTCCATGATCTAATTGTTAGCAAAAGGCGGTACCAACCAATACTAATATTGAGAAACCCGTTAGCTATTTTAAGATACTCCTGCCATTCCTAACACACTAAGGCAAAAACAGCGAACAACTATTTTAAATACAAAAATAGCACTTAACGAGGAAAATGCTCAAAAAATTAAGTATAACATTTTATAATAAGTTAACCATGAAAATGTTACAGACAGTGTAGACAATGTACCAAAGAAGGCACAGCACTATGAACAGTATCTGATTTACCAGAGAGGGTTTAATATTTTCTTTTCTTTCAGTATCATCATCAGTAGGCTTTTCTTCTTTTGGTATTATATTCTCCTCTTCTTCAATCTTTATTTCTTTGATTTCTGGTTCATTTTCTTCCTTAACTTTGATTTCTTTTACATTTTCACACTCCTTACATGGCTTGTTAACAACCTTCTCTGGCAATGCCATTTGAAATTCAATATTGGCCGACCTACAGTACTCCTCAAAACCATATAAATATCTGGAAACGTGAAGAGAAATTACATTTGGGAAAACATTTCAAATTATTACTACAGAGTGGTGGTTTTAAAAGGTGTTTATTTCTTTCAAGTTCTCAAATACTGAGTCATATTAATATTCTAATTTATTCTAGTTCAGTTCTTCCCGTTCTCTTTAACCCAAATAGAAACATTTTTCAAAAAAAACCAAAGTCACAAAAAAACTATGCCAAAAGTAAAAACACGGTATCTTAAATAAAGTAACTGTAACAACAATACCTATTAAAAGTATTAGTAAAGCATCAACTTTTTGAGCACTTTTTTTTTTTATTTGAGAGAGAGAGAGAGAGAGAGAGAGACAGACAGATGAATCCCAAGCAGGCTCTGCGCTGTCCAGCACAGAGCCCTACGTGGGGCTCGACCTCATGAATCATGAGATCCTGACCTGAGTCAAAGTCAAGAGTCAGATGCTCAGCTGACTGAGCCACCCAGACACCCCATGAGCACTTCTGATATGCCAAGCACTAGTCCTCTTAGTTCATGTGAAATCTCATTTAATCATCAGAATAATCTTATGAGGCAAGTACTAGTATCCCATTTTACAAATGAGAACACTGAAGCTTAAGAAAACAAATAAATGGTCCAAGGGGCACAAAAGCTAATAATTGGTAGGACCAGGATTCAATCCTGGACTTTTTAACACTTTATTTTTTTTTTAATGTTTGTTTATTTATTTACTTATTTTGAGTGAGAGAGAGGGAGAGAGACAGACAGAGGCAGAGAGAGGGAGACACAGAATCCGAAGCAGGCTCCAGGCTCTGAGCTGTCAGCACAGAGCCCAACACGGGGCTCAAATTCATGAACCGTGAGATCATGACCTGAGCTGAGATCAGACGCTAAACCGACTGAGCCACCCAGGTGCCCCTTTAACACTTAAAAAGAGGTTTTTAGTCTCTAAACAGTACTTTCCAAATTTTCTTGGCCACAAAAACTTTCTTTACAGAATATCTCATAGATCTAGTATTCACAGAAAATACTGCAGAACATGCTATTATAAAGTGATTAGTAAAAATTTCTGATTTCTTAGAAGAAATAATTAGCCTCCTGTTTTCTACGTAAAATATCGAATGTCGGTATATCAAGTACAATGACTTACTTTTTATAAGCACATTTAACGTTGTATCCTGCAGCTGAATTTAAGACAGGGATTCCAAGATCCTGGTAGACTTGTTTCCAAACAGCTCCGCTTTCAATCTAGCAGACAAAGTAAAATGAAAACTCCCCAATTAAAAGGTGGGAATATAATAAAATTTTGACTAATGTAGCATATAGAAATATATGTTTATATGTACTGGCTCTAGTCTCAAAGGAATGAAAAATAGCTTAATAAATTCTAAATAAAAAATTTAGTTTACAACAATCTTTTAAAGTAAGTTTTAGTATTCTAACAAATCTCAGAAAATTACAAATGTTAAGCTATTAGGCCATTTGATTTTTTTTTTTTTTATTTTTATTTTTTTTTAAACTTTATTTATTTTTTTTAACGTTTATTTATTTTTGAGACAGAGAGAGACAGAGCATGAACGGGGGCGGGGCAGAGAGAGAGGGAGACACAGAATCTGAAGCAGACTCCAGGCTCTGAGCCATTAGCCCAGAGCCCGACGCGGGGCTCGAACTCACGGACCGTGAGATCGTGACCTGAGCTGAAGTCGGATGCTTAACCGACTGAGCCACCCAGGCGCCCCAGGCCATTTGATTTTTAAATTAAACCTGGCATAGTAAATAAGAGAATATTCAGGTTTCTAAATGAAAATTTGTAATGAAGAGACACATCAAAATTTTTAAGTAATGTATTAGTTCCCATAAAACCTATAAATTTAATAAATCAAAGTAGTTCTAAGGATCTTAGTAAAGCATTTTCTTCCACAGAATACTCCCCCCGCCCAAATAATCTTAATTGGATGGACACCACACATCATGGCAACCTTAAGATAATTTCTTCAGTTCAACAAAGATTTTTCTGCATGTTTCTATACATAAATATGTGTGTGTGTGTGTGTGTGTGTGTGTGTGTATGTGCATCACACACCATGGAAGAGATTAAGAATAAAGAATATTAAAAGAGATCCCTATTCTCAAGGACCTTACAGTGTAGTGGAAAAGAGACACAGGAAGAACTTCTACCAATATAGTTGTGCTGTGACTCACACATACACAGGTGGTTTATGAAAGTTTGACAAACTTAACAGTAAACCGGGAAGCTCATTTGAAAAGCTCTTTAATTAAATTTAAATTTGGTTGAGGAAGCTAGCTGTTTCTGTTTCTAACTTGTGCCTTACATCTTCTTCTCCTTCTACTATTAGGTTTTTATTAGACAATTTTAGGTAATTTTTAAAAAAGAAAACATGTTGCATGAAAAACATGTTTCACTTTTGACTGTAATACTTACATTATCAAATCCTCCAAGCTTGTGTACAAGTCTGAATAACTTAAAGAGGTTCAAATTTCGATAGCCAAGTACGGGCCGTTTGTTAATAGGTGTGCCTATTAAAGAAAACACAAAATTTACTATAACCATGCTGCATTTGTTATTTAAAACTACAAAAGATTCAGATATTACCACTGAATATATACAGTGCAAAGTATATGTATAAGAGAAAAAAAAAATCCCTTATTAATCAAAAACATGTCTACCACTTAAGCCCATTTCCTTTTTAAAAATTTCTCATACCAGATTTTTGAAACCTTGTATGACTTCACTCCATTTTCATTTCCTTGATGAACAAAGAATAACAAACCAAAATAAAATATCAACAAAACAAAAAATTTTTAAAGTTTTTAAAATTTATTTTGAAAAAGCAGGCTCACGAGCGGGGGAGGGGCAGAGAGGGAGGGAGCAAGAGAATCCCAAGCAGGTTCTACACTGTCGGCACAGAGCCCAACGTGGGGCCAGATCTCACCAACTGTGAGATCACGACCTGAGCCAAAATCAAGAATCGGACACTCAACCAATGGAGCCACCCAGGCACCCCTTCACTTTTTTATTTGCCTTATACAAAAGCCTAAGAAATCACCTACCTTCTTAGGCCAACCCTCGTTCATACAAAAAAATAATACAGAAAGCAAGGACATTTTATATCAAACAATAAAGATAACTACATTATGGCAGCCACTATCACTTATGAGAGCAAAAGACAGCCAACTTCTACTTATCAACATTACAAATGAGGATTTAAAAAATATTAATCCCCCCCCCCAAATAACTCCCAAAGTACAGTGGCACTTCCAAATATTATTCATTCATTTTGTCCTTCTCCTCAAGCTAGAAAGCTTTCTGCCTCTCCCTACTCCCTTTCTGGCATCTTCCCAGGAAAGGAGACACTATACTCTGAACAGCAGATAACCAAGAGAGTGACAAAGCCACAGTTACCAGAGGACGAGGTCACTACCGAAAACGAAAGGTCAACATCCATACCTCTTTCCCTCGATTCTTGTATTTCTTTAACACCACCAGGTAGATTCAAAAGACTAAGTCAAGGCTCACCCTGAGACTCTGCCACCTTTCTCTATGTCTGACTCTCTCTGGATGGTTTAATTCTCTGCTTCGTTCTGTGTGGTTGGGTCACAAGAAGACTTGGGAGTATGGTGTCTCTCTGGCTCTTTCTCTCACTCACATGCACACATACACAAACACACACAAACATACACATCCAAGGTATATCCAACAGTGATTCCAGAGAGGAAGGCTTTTTACTAGAGGAATCTATGTAGGTACAAATAAAATGGTACTATGATTACCATTCAGCTACTGCTCCCTAGTCGTAAGAGTTCTTTGGGAACCCATGGATGGAGGGCAGATAGGCAGAACAGAATGCAGGCCATATGGGTCCATGGCCATAATATCCATCAAAATACTATCAAATTCCTCCTCCCGTGTACTATATGCCAAGTACTATGCCAGGTGCTGGTGACGCTGGCAGGCAGTAAGGCAGCCATGATTATTAGTGACATGAAGCTTAATGAACAGAATTCTTCATGGTTTTTTTATTCATGGTTATTGTTGTACAGGTAGCACATTTAAAAATAAAACTCACCTCTATCCTCCATAAATTTGTACAACTGCTGAAGAAAGTTCTCCCTTTCTTCTGGAAATGGTTCTATTTCTTCCTAATTTTAGTCACAGAAGAATAGAATGTTATTTTCCTCAATTAAACATCATAATAATACAAGATTTCCTACTAAAAGCAAAGACTAACATTTACTAAAATATTTCAAAGACGTTTTACCAAGTAAAAATTATTTCTTAACACTAAGATGTTCAAAACCAGGCACGTCTAGACATTTTATGCTTTCCAAAGGAATATGCCCTAAAAGGTATCTCAACAGCGATAATCCCAAATGTAAATTCTCATATAAGAAGTACGAAATAAGACTAGCAAGATGGTTCATGAGCTTTTTCCCATATCAGAGATCTATCTACTCTTTAAGTCAGGGCCACAGGCTCAAGAAGACCTACTCTCACTTATATTAAATTGGGTCAGGGTTTCACATCACAACAGACTATCTTGTTGCTCCTCCAGAACTATACACGTGTGGGTCCCATTAGCTGAAACTCCAAGTATCCTTCATGATATACAGCCCCACTGTGCAGCACTTCAAGCTAACAAAATCAGTAAAGTGGGGAACAAACTTGATCTACAATACCTGAAGATTCAGACTTAGGGAAATCTTCAAGTAATAAAATAGTTCCCCGATTTATCAATTACAAGGGAGGGACTAGCTTCTTGCTGCTGTGGCCAGGGGCTGTGGCAGTAGGGAGCTGGTCCTGAAGCGACCTGCAAGGAGCAGGGTAGTAGGTGAGATGGAGGAACTCGTCGATTCAGTGACTATCATCCATTCAACAAACCATTTAGCGAGCACCAGCGAGCGTAGGCACTGTGCTAGGTGCTGACTCAGATAAAAGAAAAGTGAGCGATGGAGCCTGCCGTTAGAGAACACGATCGGGAGTAACTGTGAAGAAAGTGATTCCAAACGTACACCTAGGACCTGCAGTTACTCTGGCTGAAACCAATGTATTTCTGACAGTAACCCTCCAGACCATACTTTTCAACTGATAGTCCAAATAAACCGAAATATATCATTTTACTTTAAAAATCATGTGTCTAATGCCATTGTTTTGACATCTGCCCCTTTATTTTAAAAGCTAGCAGAGCAAAGGAAGGCAAGGTAAAAACAAGAAACAAAAATCCATGTTGATAAACTATCAAGTTTGCCAGTTGAGCAGAGAAGAATAAATGACAATTATTAATTTCTTTATGTGAAAATCTACACTTCTCAGTTTAAACATGGTCCACAGAAGGTGGGTTTTAGTAAGGCAGTCAGATACAAATCTAAGGAAACCTATTTTCTAGAGATGATCTTAAATGCCCCCTGATACAATATTTGGCATTCATACACTGCCAAACTTATTCCTGTCCCCAAAATTTAGTGAAGTTTGTATTTAACGTAAAAGAAAATGATTAACTGGAAACCAGATTTGCTTTCACCAAAACATTTCTAAAACACAAATCTAAGCAAGAAAATTTCAGTAACTAATATTTATTGATCATGATATATTTACAAGTTATACATTATGAGACACTCTGAGTAGGAGCACAGGGAACACCAAACCCCTGAGGAGCTTACAGGGGAGAAAACTGACAATAAGTGCGCGTGCGTGTGTGTGAATGATCAAAACATGCACAAGGAAAGGTATTAATTAAGCAAGTGGAGCGATTAACTTTCCTGAGGTGAGGGAGGTGATGCTGCACAGGTTTCCCTTTACAGAGGGATCGTGTTAGTAGGGTTTTGAAACTGAACGGGAGTTTGCCAGGCTAACTGGGGGAGGAAAGGCAAGAGCACTGTAGGCAGAGGTACTGGTATGTGTACAGGCTGGGAAGAGGCAAGGTATGTAATTTAATATCGCCACAGCATCAAGTTCAAAATGGCAAGGTACACCAAGAGAAGTGGTAAAAAGGCAGGACTGGATTGTAAAAGAAGTTCTGTAAGTGAAGCTTGACTTTTAAGGTGCTAAGAAGCTACTGGGAAAGTTTGAAGCAAAGGACTGCTTGTTCATTTTAGCATTTTAAACAAAAAGCGGGAGGGGGAGAAGACTGAAGCTGAGAAACTTTTACACTACACATTGTCATCACAGATCACTAGGTCATAAAACATAAACTCTGAAACAATCCTATTTCATGAATAGTTGTTTATTACAATTAAATGGCAGAATTTCAGAACTTACCGAAAATATTACATATTGAGATTAACTTACTTAGTTTCCTGAAAACATTCACTCCAAGGTCAAATATACAGCCTTCACTACATACACCATTCACCAGTAACTTTTATGAAATCGTTCAACAAACCACTCAAGAGTACAGTGGTACAATGTCACTAGTAATACCATGGACAGCTTTTGTTGGTACTTATCACCGCTAGATCTAAAGTACCAGTTATAATAAAATCTAAAACTTCACCTACTTGATCCATACAAATTCACAGATGACTTATTTATGATCTAATTAGAACTAGCCACTCATCTGTGTTAGACGTAATTATTTAAGTTTTTCTGAATCAAAGAGGTATTAAAGGTATTAATCCTTTTTTGCTGACTATTCTTCTAATACTAGATGGAAGATGTATTTTATACTTCTCTAGGTATTTCAATAAAATATGCAGATGAAAACACTGTACCAGGTGACAGTGGTCCACAGGATGATGAAAAAGCACATGAAAGTAGAGATTTGCTACGTTAGGTGTGTATTTCCCTTATTATCTGATAAACCAAAAAAAGCACATCATCATTAAGAAACATTTTTGAGATTACCGAAATAACTGTATTTAGTATTTTCAATTTCACAAGACTATATTTCTATTTTAAGTAAGCAAGCAAACTACCTGGTTATGGCGGACATCACAACACAGTTTTATTATGAAATATCTCTAATACTAAAAATACTTAAGTGATTGACGACTTTATGCCAAATCCTAACTCACAAAGGAAACTGAAGTGTTACTTCTAATTTTAGGAGACATCAACCATTTTTAATTACCTCTTCTTCACTGCTATTATCTTCCTTTTCTTTTTCATCATCTTCCTCCTCTTCTTCTTCCTCTGCTTCACTGCTAGAACTATCTTCTTTCAGTTCAGTCTTCCAGTTAGCAGGAATCGTTCTACTTTTGTGAAATTCAAGTGCCTGATCAAAGGCTGGAAAGAGGACCATAAACTATGTGAACTGGAGAAATTAAGACAACTGATTTGTCTAATAGTAGTAAAAAAGATTTAAAAAAAAAAAAAGTAAAACTACGGTGCTAACACCACTGACATCTGTGAAGTGTCTGCTACGTGCCAGGCACTGCGCACTGTACTAACTCATTTCAAACCCAACCATCCGAAGCATCAGGCACCCATTTTATAGACGGCGAACTGCTGCTACTGAAGGGGACTTAGGTTCAAACAAAGAACAGTTTTCTTCTTTTACACAAAAACTAAACATGCCTAGTAAAAACAACTTTAAGACTGGTACATTTCTGATCATTTGTCCAACAAATGACTATGAATCAGCATCATATATCAAGCACAAAGCCGCTGTAATGAACATACGTTATAGCTGAAGATATTCTATAAATACGCATTAGCTTCATTTCTAGTTAAACCTGAATTAAAATTAAAGTAATAATCAGCTTAAACTAAAATTAGCTAGACACAGTTATTTTCAGTTTATAATACATGGAAATAAACTCTAAGCCACAAATTCTTGGTGATTTTTAACCAGTCTACATAGCATACTATTAGATTTGATGAATATGGGTGAAAGGAAAATAAAGTTATTTACAAAGCTAAAAACCAAGCAAAAAATGCAATTATGATATATTCCTCAATAAAATATGACTATTGTTACACTATGAGACATGCCAAATCAAAACTACTTTTGACTTCTGTTTCTACCATCCTTAGGAAGTAATATTTTATTTACTAGGCAAAAGCAAGGCTATAGTAATTAGCTGGTAATATAGTTCTTTGCCACTTTTAGATTACTGCCCCTGATTATAAACTAAGAAAGAAAAAGAAACCCTATAGTAACAAAAGACACCTAGGTTTACAAAAGTATAATTCACACAGAACCAACTATAACTTCAAAGACAGGATTATAAAAAATATTATTTTTTATTTTATTTATTTGTTTATTTTAATGTTCATTGATTTTTGAGAGAAAAAGAGAGAGAGAGGGAGAGACAGAGAAAGAGAGAGAGAGAGAAAGAGAGAGAGAAAGAGAGAGAGAGAAAGAGAGAGAGAGAGAGAGAGAGAGAGAGAGAGAGAGAGAGTGTGTGTGTGTGTGTGTGTGTGTGTGTGTGTGGGAGGGGGAGGCACAGAATCCAAAGCAGGCTCCAGGCTCTGAGCTGCCAGCGCAGAGCCCAACGCGGGGCTCAAACTCATGAACCACAAGATCATGACCCAAGCCAAAGTCAGATGCTTAACTGACTGAGCCACCCAAATGCCCCCAAAATACATTTTTTAAAGAGCAAAAGAAAGTTTGATCTTCAAAAACACTTCAGCAGTTGTTAAGTTAACCATAAACTATTCCAAGATTATCCTTACCTTGTTTTAATATCGCATCAGGCTTTGGTGCAGAGTCACTAGTAATTTCATGGACATCCTTTCTTGGCACTGAAGTACTACATTAGTTTTTTTTTAATTTTAAAGAAAAAAAAAAGCCACAAAAAACACAACAGAAATTAAGAGTTGAATTATACACTACAGAAAAATATTAAAAATATGAAAACATTAACATTTACAATGAAAGTGATTGCACAGGGCTGCAAGTCCCAAATAAAATGCTAAGCAGAATGTTGAAATAGGTCATCATCTACAGAAGGACCCCACCTTGAGAGGTGTTTTTCAAACAAGATATTCTCAAATATCAGGAGTCCCTGGCTAAATGTAACACTGAAAACAGGGAGGCTAATGAAAATAATAGTAAATGAAAATACTTTGATGGCAGGATCAATCCAATAAAAAAAGAAGTCAAATAGTAAGAATTTGCCATTGTCTTGGAATAATCACAAGAAATTACTGAATTTAAGACTGGAAGAAAATGTACTTGTTTATACTATAAATGTTCTTCTAAGAACTGTTTTTAAGCTGGATTCTAGGCTCACAAGCAAACTTCTAATATATAACTTAGTCTTTTATGGAACTCCCCAATCATAAGGAGGGAGGGAGTCAGATGTAAGCAACTGGAAGAATTTCTATCATATGTATCACATTCATCTCCTATTTTACAATAATAAATCATCCTTCAGTATCATTCAGCTCTTCTGCATTTGGTCTGTATCAATCTACAAATGCCAGAAAACTATTCCAAATACATTTGTCAGCCAGCCTATTTTTAATTTTTATTCAAAAAATTTCAAATACATACAAAAGAGAATAAAACAGTGCAATGAAACACCATATACCCATTCTCCAACTACAATAATCATAAAGTCAGTCACTTTCACTTATACCCCTACCTACTTCCTCCCACCCCATGTGGATTACTTTGAAGGAAATTTGAGATATTATATAATTTGATTTGTGATATACTTCACATGAGTTTTAAAAGAAAATTCTTTTTCAAAATCATAAACAGGGGCGCCTGCGTGGCTCAGTCCATTGAGCATCCGACTTCGGCTCAGGTCATGATCTCACAGCTCGTGAGTTCGAGCCCCGTGTCAGGCTCTGTGCTGACAGCTCAGAGCCTGGAGCCTGCTTTGGATTCTGTGTCTCCCTCTCTCTCCGCCCCAACCCACTCGCATTCTGTCTCTGTCTCTCTCAAAAATAAATAAACATTAAAAAAAAATTTTTTTTAAATCATAAGCAATACCATTACTACACATTTAAAAGTTAACAATAATTTCCTAATACCATTGAACCAGTATTCAATTTTAATATTCAAATTCCTGATTATCTCCATTTTGTTAAAGTGGATTTCATAAATTGTTTTTAAAAATCACTTTCTAGAACCTGAAAACCCAAACACCAATCTTAAAATGTGATGATCCTTTTAAGGTATAAACACAGAATAAGGCCAAGTATAAAATACGTGACTTTTCTAGTCACATAATTCTTAAAGGGGGGAAAAAAAAACACAGAAATTCATAACTCAGTTCCAGAAAGGCTCTATATGAAAAATCACTTGAATACTTAATACATTTGCAGTAACCCATTTTAATCCACAGGCTACTATACAAGTTGAATGTTACACAACAGGTATCAGTATAACCATTAGAACTAAAAATATTAGGGCCCAATTAAATATTCCAGAATAGTAAAGACATCAATAAATATAGCGATCAAATATTAGATACAATAGATATATCTAAATGTGCCTGAACAAATCACCAGCTATTATACTATACAGGCAAATACTGACAAACTCTGGGAGTTTAGAAAAAAACAAAATAAACAAGTAAGGCATACTGTAAGACCACTTAAATGATAATGTGAAAAACGATCACACTTCCAAACATTCTGTATGATGAAAAGTAAAAGCATAAGGTCGTTGGAAATAATTAATTTATTATCATTTACTATCCTAACTTGGAAAAACAGCATTTTTTTAACCTCCAGTGAATTATACTTACAATTTGCCATCTTTGAAAGATCGAACAAGAATATTGTCTTTTTTCACAGCAATTTCATCACTACAATCAGGACAAACCACCTTTAAAAAACAAAAAAGTGTAAACTATTAAAACTAAAAGTACATTTACAGTTATGTATCAATTATTAAAATCCTTTTAAAAGACAGTTTCAGGGGCGCCTGGGTGGCTCAGTCGGTTAAGTGTCTGACTTCAGCTCAGGTCATGATCTCCTGGTTCGTGAGTTCAAGCCCCACCTCAGGCTCTGTGCTGACAGCCCAGAGCCTAGAGCCTGCCTCAGATTCTGTCTCCCTCTCTTGGGCTCTCGCTCTCTCTCTCTCAAAAATAAACATTAAAAAAAAATTTTTTTTTAAATAAAAGATAGTTTCAGCTTAAAGCTTAAAAACGAATTTTAGTTTGTAGGGTAAACAGGTACACACACATGAAAATACACACAAGTGATTTTAAATTTACATCCTATATCCTTCCAGCTTTCTTGATTCCCCACATCGTTTCTGGCACTGGCTTGGTGTTGAAACCAGAAGCGTGGCCATGGCTTGACTGAAGCTGTGGACCAAGGTCTAGTTAGAAACAGAACACTGGAATGAAAGGGGAGGCTGGGGTGGAACAAAGAGCTAAAGCCAGAGGGTCTGCAGCATGGCTAGGAGAACAGAAACCAAAATGGGAGCAAGTATCAGAGCAGTCTCTAACTTAAAAAAGGTAGAGATGAGTTCCACTTATTACTTACATTTAAATATACATAACAGGCACTAAAATTTCTTCCCAATGCTACCCACTCTAAAAAGTAAATGTTATAAAGAAGATACCTTTCTGGAGGCTACATAAGATTTATTACTAACAGAAGAAGATTTACTTTAGTTGGAGTCACCTCAGCTGCTATTTAAAGTGAGGTTCAAGCATTCCTTCCTAAAGGCTAATGCAAGACGCCTATAAACTTTTAGTATTTTAATTCCAAGACAGCCCACTATGTATACCAGGAACAATGAAAAATGGGCTAAATAAGTATGACAGGTTTGTTTTAAGGACAGTCTAATTAGCTCTGAAAAATGACAATGGTACATAAAGGCCATTTATTCTCACCACAGGTCAGAAAGGAGCTAGAAACAGGTGAGTTCTAATTTCGTCTTTAAAAAGTTAGTTCACATTTTCCGTAACAGCAACTGCAGTGCACCAGGCATTCCTTAAATACTGACGGCACTGTGAATAAACTCACTGATGAAAGTCTGCTACATGGGGCGGCTGGGTGGCTCAGTTGGTTGAACGTCTGACTTCGGCTCAGGTCATGATCTCACAGTTCGCAAGTTCGAGCCCCACGTCAGGCCCTGTGCTGACCGCTAGGAGCCTGGAGCCTGCTTCGGATTCTGTGTTTCCTTCTCTCTCTGCCCCTCCCCCATTTGCACTCTGCCTCTCATTTGAACATAAATAAACATTAAAACATTTTTAAAAAAAGAAAAAAGTCTGCTCTATGTATTAGCATCCAAGGAAACTTCCTTGTCATTTCAAAAAAGTCCTCCAGTAGGGACGCCTGCCATGGGTCGCTCAGTTGGTTAAGCGTCCGACTCCTGGTTTCAGTTCATAGCAATGATCCCGCAGTTTGTGAGTTTGAACCCTGTGTTGGGCTCTGTGCTGTCAGCGCAGAGCCAGCTTGGGATTCTCTCTCCCTCCCTCTCCCCCAAAATAAATGTAAAAAATTTCTGAAGTAAATACTTAATATTTGGTCTAATCATGCTATAGATACTAACTACCACATCAGGGTACTGTACTAGATGCCAGAGAACACAGAAGCCCAGACAGTCACCGCTCCCCCCTACACGGAGCTTGTACTCTAGTTGGGAAGACAAGCACTAAGTAAGAGAGTACACACTGATTTAACTGCTATTGCGTTAAGTCCTTATCTAGGTAATCAGGGACCACTTTTTTTTTTAAATTTTTTTAATGTTTATCTATTTTTGAGAGAGAGCGAGTGAGTAGAGGAGGGGCAGAAAGAAAGGGAGACACAGAATCCAAAGCAGGCTCTAGGCTCTGAGCTGTCAGTACAGAGCCTGATGTGGGACTCAAACCTACAAACTCCAAGATCGTGACCTGAGCCGAAGTCAGACGCTTAACCGACTGAGCCACCCAGGCACCCCACAGGACCGCTTCCTTGAAGGCACAACATTTAAGCTCAGCTTTCAAGCCTGAGTAGGAGGTGGCTTGACATGGGATGTACACGTACGCATGTATATGCAGCAAAGGGGTGCACTGCAAGCAGAGGAAACTAATCACAGGAAGCGTCAGAGACAGGAAGCAGTGGAACCCTGTTCCAGAGAGCAAAAGGGCAGTGTGGCTAACTTTCTGCCTGGAGTGATTAAGAGAGATGAAAAGGGTTCAGATTTTCTGGTTAATTCTTAGAATAAAATCTAAAATCTTTAAGGAAAGGCTCTGAGGAAGGATAATGTTGTAACTGCTTTGCCTTTTAAAGAATTACTTAGGCGGTGCCTGGCTGGCTCAGTCAGAGGAGCAAGTGAGTTTTGATCTCGGGGTTCTGAGTTCAAGCCCCATGTGGGACACAGAGATTATTTAAATAAATCCAACTTTAAAAAAAAGAATAGGGGCGCCTGGGTGGCTCAGTCGGTTGAGTGTCTGACTTCAGCTCAGGTCATGATCTCAACTGTCCATGAGTTCGAGCCCTGTGTCAGGCTCCGTGCTGACAGCTCAGAGCCTGGAGCCCGTTTCAGATCCTGTGTCTCCCCGTCTCTCTGCCCCTCCCCCACTCATGCTCGCTCGCGCTCTGTCTCTCTCTCTGTCAAAAATAAACATTAAAAAAAGAATAAAAATAAAATTAAGTTACAATTATTTTTATTTATTTATTAAAATGGAATTAAAACATCCAGGTGAGAGGTGGTGACTTGGCTGCAGAGTGGTGGCAATGGCAAATTAAAGAAAAGAGAACTATGAGAGATAATTAGGGAAGTGAAGAGATGAGCAAGCAGAGGGATGCTCAGGTTTCTGTCTTGTGCAAATGATGTCATTCACTGTGAGAGGAAACAATGGAGAAGGGCCAAGTTTCGGAAGAAGGGAGGAGAGAATACATTTAGTTTTAAATTTATTAAGTTTTGAGGTGGCTGAAAGACATCCAAATGGAGATACTAAATAGAGAGATACCCAAGTCTAGAGCTCACAATGGAGGTCTGAACTGTGATATAAACTTGGGAGTCAACAGCCTAAATACTAAGGGTCTCAAACTTAGGTCTAAAACTATGAATAAAATCTACCTTTTTTTCCTCATGGTTTTTGCAGTCCTCCACTTGACCAACTGAGCTATTGAAGGAATCACACTTTCTCATGGGTTTCAAAAATTACACATATGATAGCTTTGGCCGATGCTGCTGGTGGTGTGTAAGTGGGATCACTTTCCATTCTGCCACAGGAATGATAATCCGTATTTCATCCTGTTCACCCATGTATGTTCTTTTCTTGGTCCCTAAGGCATTTCAGTTTGTTAACTCTGCAACCAATGCTATAAAAGGGGATGAGATCACCCAAAAGAGAATACAGAGTGATATATTCTGAACCTTGAACAGCAACATTTCAAGGTTGGTTAGAGGAGAAACCATGAAGGAAACTGAAAAAGACAACTGCATGAGTCATGGAAGCTAAGATTTCCTTCTCTTAAAATGGGGGTAAATACCACTTATCTTCAGTCTCAGGAATAAAGGAGACTGTTTATACAGACAAGCTCAGCACAGTGCCTGGTCAGGGGAGATGCTAAACCCATGGAGGTTGCTCACAGGTCCTGGGAGTACACGACTGTTTCCTAGCAGGATGTTACTAAACGCTCGTAAAATTTACTCAATTTGTAAAAACTAATTTTAAAAATTGAAACCCAAATACTATTTATGTTATTATGTCAAGATTGTTTGATTTAGAACACAAGTTTACACCCTAGTTGACAAAAAGTACTCATCACTGTCCAAAAGATCTCACTTTGGGGGGAAGGATTACATATATGAATAATTCTAAGATTCTTTAAATGATAGTGAGATGGTTCCTAAGCAGATTACTGACAATTCAACATCATAAATCCTTAAATATTTTTCCCATCATCAAGAAAACTATTCAGAAATTATGGTGAGAGAATCATAATACTGAATATACTAACAGTGAAAAAATTAATATTCCTGTTGTTTTAGAAAAAGACACAGAGACCTTTTTTTTTTAAAGTTTATTTATTTTTGAGAGAGACAGAGCATGAGCAGGGGAGGGGCAAAGAGAGAGGGAGACACAGAATCCAAAGCAGGCTCCAGGCTCTGAGTTGTTAGCACAGCCTGGAGTGTGGGTGCCTGGGTGGCTTAGTTGGTTAAGCGTCCAACTCTTGATTTTCAGCTCAGGTCATGATCTCACCGTCTGTGGGATCGAAGCCCCGTTACTGGCTCTGCGCTGACAGCATGGAGCCTGCTTGGGATTCTTTCTCTCCTCTCCTTGCCCCTCCCCAGTTCGTGCATGCACATGCTCTCTCAGAAACAAACAAACAAACATTAAAAAACAAAACAAAACATGTTTTCAGGGGCACCTGTATGGTTCAGTTGGTTAAGCATCCAATTCTTGATTTTTGGCTCAGGTCATGATCTCACTGTTCCTAAGATAAAGCCCTGTGTTGGGCTCTCCACTGACAGGGTGAAGCCTGCTTGGGATTCTTTCTCCCTCTCTCTCCACTCCTCCACCCCTCTCTCAAAATAAATAATTAAACATTAAAAAAAAAAAATGTTTTCAAAAGAAATTCTTACAAAGCAATCTTAGTGCTTAAGGAAAAAAGCAATGATCTCATACGTTGACACTTAAGTTTTCAGTTTATTACCCAACTTACTTCGACTTTCCAATACTCAGTTTCCTTATCATTAAGTGAGGATAAATAATAATACCTGCCTCATAGTCCCTGTAAAGGTCTTAGCACAGTCCCTGCATACAACAGGCATCCAATAAATACTGGATGGACAGATGGATATATGCAAAGGTACAAAGGTATCATAAAGCATTTATATTTATTAAAACAAATAATTACCCTCTTTAGTTTTAATTATAAAATACAATGTTAAGTTTTAACTGAAAGAACGGGCATTTACTGGGCAATTATTTTGTGCAAAACACTGAACGGAGCTCAGGATAAAGAATATAAAACATGTTCACTGAAAAGGAGGATAGACAGACATCATTTTAGTTAACAGTAGAAAAAGAAAGTCTCCTCTTCTGCAATCTTCTGCATGATGAATTTAGGAGTTGTAAAAATTTGCATTATGACTTTTCTACCCAAAATAGAAAGAGAAGTATAATGAACTCTCATATACCTAGCCTCTAAAATTACCAAAATTTGGCCTTTCTTGGATGACTTCAAGAGTTCTTGGTACTCAAAGACAATTTTGAAAGTAATATTTGTGTAAACTAAATGATGCTAAAACCATTTCCCCACTTTGTACTTGTGAAAAATACTAGTAAGATTATCAGTTGTCCTCTTCATGAACTTAAATAGTTGAAAGTTAAACTCTTTAATACTGAAGTTACTCACCAATGCAGGAAACCACAGTGCTTTCTTTTTATCCAAACTAACGTAATCTACACATACAACTTTTCCTAGTAGCTCATCAATCTGTTTCCTATCATCCTCATCTTCATCACTGGAGGATGAAGAAGACTCTTCCTCTGGTCTAGGAAAAAAAAAAAAAAAAGATATTTCCATTTATCTTCACAGAGAATGAGCATACCAAGCTGATAAATACAGGTATTCCAGAAATCTTATCCCATTTTCAAAAACCTACAGAATGGCAAATTTAAATTTTTATATAATTTTCTAAATTTCTAAATAATAATAAAAAGGGTTATCATGAAAAGAAAGCACATCATTTTCCTAAAAATCTCTTGGAAAGAACACAATACTCAAAAAGCTTAAGGCCCTATATGAAACATCCCAGTGCTACAAAAAAATACAGTAGATGCTACTCTCAAAAGAGTTGGGAGTTCCCAAGATATTAAATTTTATACTCCTAGTACAAAGATAATTTTAAAAAGAGAAAAAGATTTTTATTTATGGGGAGGTTGAATAATGGCGAATATTGATTACCTACGGGGATGAAAACATTTTTGAGATACTCAGCAATGACCAAGTTCACGGACAAAAAATGTAAGTTGAAAAATCATTTTAAAACCTTAAACATGATTTATCTATTTGGTTGACTGGCATAAATCGAATATATTCTAAATTTGTCTCGATGCCTTTCCAAAGGGATGGAGATATAAATGTCACTCCTTTATATTTATACACTTCAACGTAAATATTTTTTAAAAATCCAAAAAAAACTATTGTAATAAGATTAAACATTTTAGAACAGTATGGGAAATATCACTATTTGATTTCAATGATCAAGTAACTTAAAACTTTTCTTCTGGCAGAAACAAAGCAAATTTTCCAAGTTTGCTGCTGAGAACCAGGGTACTTCAAATGACACTTATAGTAATTTAACTGCTACTCAGAAAGTAACAGAAGGTAGGAAAAACCAATACAGCTTGGTATTAGCAAAGCATAAAACCTTAAAAATAGACACACAGCTTCCGGCAGTCATGACAGACTTCCCAAGTCTGAGTTCTACTTGATTACAAGTGTTTCTCAAGGGCAATGATTTTTCTCTCTCCACTTTCTAGTGGCTGTAGAACACAACCAACCTTAAAACCATAATCACTGCTTTTTCAAAGCAGTTATAAAAAACTTATTCAGCTAGGATTTAATAGACACCCTTTAAGACATTATCATTAGCAAGACAGAAAGTCCCAGTATCACAGATAACATAGATCACATCTGTAAAACAGAGAGAGAAAACCGGGCTTTATTTGCCTAACAAGTCATCTGCATCTTTATGAAAATTCTCATTTGTTTCTTAAGACTTAACAAGAATGAAGGCTTCAGACATGAGAAAGTTACATATATATACATATATCTATATATATATGTATATATATATATATATATATAGATGTATGTATATACATAAAAAAGGGCTGCCTACATAAAATACCTATCCGCTTTACATACTAAATGTCCAAGTTCCACTCTAAAACCATTTCCCATTCATGCACTAGATTTCTTCCCCCTCGACTCCCCAAATGAAGACTTTGTTCCCACAATGCTTGTTTCCCTCTCCTGTGTCAATTTTTCTGCCTCTGCTATATTGAGTCCTATCAGCATACCCTTATTTCCACTAACATGCTTTATTTCTCCCACTTAAAAAAAAAAAAAAAAAAAAATCCCCTGCAGCACCTTGGTGGCTCAGTAGGTTAAGCAGCAGACTTGGGCTCAGGTCATGATCTCACAGCTCGTGGGTCTGAGTCCCCAGCTGGGCTCTGCACTAACATCTCGGAGCTCAGAGTCTGGAGCCTGCTTGGGATTGTCTCCCCCTCTCTTTGTCCCTCCCCCACTTGTGCTTGCTCGCTCTCTCTCTCTCTCTCTCTCAACAATAAATAAATTAACAAACATTTTAAAAAGAAAAATCCCCTGACCTCACTTTCTCCACCAGTTACTAGCACCTCATTTTCCTACTCCCCCTTTGCAGTCAAACAGAGCCTGGAATGCTCTATTCCCCAGACATTTGGAAACACTCAACTCTTCTAAGTCTCTGTTCAAATGTCATCTCAATGAGGTTACCCTGACTGTCCCATTCAAATTTAGAATCTGCCCGTCCCAATCTCTCCTTTTATTGTTTTCCCACAGCACTGAAAAATCTATCATGCTACATAATCTGCTTAATTCGTTCTTACGTTTTCTCTTTCTGACCCATCTCCCCCGTATGAGAGAATATAAGCCTCAGGGCAGACATCTTATCAATGCCTGTTTATTCACTGATATATTCCAAGTACCTGAACAGTGCTTGGCACAAGCATAGATATTCAATACATATTTGCTGACTAAATAAATGGACTGGATAGATTTCTTTCTCTCTACTATGGTATATCTAATTTTATTTCTCCTGAAATCACAAAATGTAAACAAGTGGCATAACGTACACAACCAGTGTAAACCACACCATTATATGCACCTAGGATCCCTTTAACTTCTCCTCTTACAGGAGTTTGGTCAGGAAATAACTTACACAAGACAAGCACTCAATAAACTGATGGAACAAAAATAAATGAGCATCAAAAGTATTTTAAGGGAGCAAATACATAGCAAGCAGAGAACCTGCTTGGTTTTTATTCCCCTCTGACGTTGTTGCTTCTTTGGTAGTAAGAAAGTATTTGTTTACTTGAGCCAGAACAAAATACAGTACTGTCTTTGTGAAATAACATCTGATGATGCCACTGCAAACAAAGCTAATTACACAGAAATGTTTACAAGCACAGACCAACAGCTAATTACTTAAAGCTGATCACAATTAACTGTAAGAGTTACAATTATAAATTAATTTTTACCATTAATTGTGAATCAAGTAAGAAGAACTTAAGACAAGACATGTGCCAAAGAACAGCAAATGATGAAACACAAGCAGAAAACTCAGCTAGGAACTTCAGAGGCTCAATTTGGAAATGTAATTCTGACTTCAATGCTCCTTATTATTTCAGGCAAGTAACTCAGTTTCAAATTTTACACACTAAATTAAAAAGCTGTTTTCCCCTAAGTTTTATCAAGAAGGAAACCAGAATCAAATTGTCATATCAAAATAAAACAGCAAATAATTAAAAAGTCTTCCAGAATTCGACAGTGGTACTGGTTGCACAGTCTGTGAATACACTAAAAAACAAGGCACACTGTACACTTTTCAAGGGTGAATTGTGGTATGTTAAATGCATCGCAATAAAAAAAATTTTTTAAAGATCTGCAGACCTGTAAATGTCAGTTACAAATCACTAGTTTATTGGGTAAACTTTAGCGCTGTCAGTGAGTAAAATCTGTGCCCATAAATAATTGCTATCAAGAATCATTATGGGCCTTATTATGCTTTATTCTTGTTCTGAACAGGAAAAAAAAAAATGGCAAGCAGACTGATTTCCTACTGTAGCAGCTGCATATATACTTTTGCCTCATTACTGGAAAACACTTTGAGGGGGTGAGGATACACCGATTTTTCTATAATTTCAGGCATTCTATTGTTTAGGCAGAATCAAACAAAATACCTGTATACAATGGCTAAATTAAGGGAAAATTTCAACTTGCTTTAAAAAACTAGAGAATAATAATCTTAAGAAAATACTTGAATACATTAGAATTAACTAAAGGTAGAAGATACATAAAATTCATCTGAAGGAAGGTGTCAAAAATCATCAATTTTTGGAAGAGCTGGAGGCTGATTTACTGGTATGTGGATTAACAGTTGTTAAAAGAAAATAAAGGTAGTGGTATACCTGGGAAGTGGGAAGAGATAACTTCATTGATCTTTGTACAAAATTACATTTTATTTATTTATTTTTTATTTTTATTAAAAAAATTTTTTTTAACGTTTATTTATTTTTGAGAAGAGAGAGACAGAGCATGAGCAGGAGAGGAGAGAGAAAGAGGGAGACACAGAATCTGAAACAGGCTCCAGGTTCCGAGCTGTCAGCACAGAGCCCGATGTGGGGCTCGAACTCACAGACCGTGAGATCATGACCTGAGCTGAAGTTGGATGCTTCACCGACTGAGCCACCCAGGTGCCCCTGTACAAAATTACATTTTAAATGACAATCAGGGAACCAAAAATGAAGACTTTTTTAGTTGAGTAATGAGAGCAGAAATGAAGGTCAGATAAATGACCTTAAGGTCCGAGTCCAAGACTCTGTTGTAGAAAATCACTCAGAAAGGGGAGAAAGAACTTTGAGGAAGTATAATTAAGAAGAAAAGAATTTCCAACTGTGGTACTTGCCTGTAGCGCCTACATACTATGGCATAAGGTGCCAATAAACAAGAACATTACGTGCCTTGGCCATGAGAATGACCACAATAGCGAGCGGGAAGGGACAGCAAGCCAAACAAGGTGACAGATGAGCAGGGCGTCATTCCCTACAAGTTAATTCTCAACCTTCGGTCTGCCATACATTGCACATACGTAATATAATCCCAACAGCAAATCTTTCATTATTCGCAACAGGAAAATCACTTACTTAGACATTTGCTGGAGTCTTTAAAAAGCAAAGATCAACTTGCTCAGTGACAACTGCATGCTTTAGTCTCATCTTCAAGAAAAGGAGACCTCAGCTAATAGATTTTTTAATACATCATGATTTTGGGTCACTTTTGTAGATCACTCTAGGTGATAGTCTATAAACGATCCTTAAATTTATTTTTATACGTCTAGATCACAGTTGAAGAAAGGTAAAACATGTCTAAATATTAGATGCCATCTTTTTCAAAGTTTAAAAAGAATTTTTGATAGATACAAAAACAGTTTTTCCTGCAATATATATAATATAATATAATATAATATAATATAATATAATATAATATAGAAATGTTGTTTCAAAAAATTCAAATATAGGGGTGACTGGGTGGCTCAGTCAGTTAAGCAGCTGACTTCGGCTCAGGTCAAGAACTTGTGGTTCATAAATTCGAGCCCTGTGTCAGGCTCTGTGCTGAAGGCGTGGAGCCCAGAGCCTGCTTCGGATTCTACGTTTCTGTCTTTCTCTGCCCCTCCCCTGCTCATGCTCTGTCTCTTTCTCTCTCAAAAATAAATTAAAAAATTAAAAAGCAATATAAAAAAAAATAATTCAAATATACCCCAAAACAGTTCTACCTATCAGACATAAACAATAAGTAAGCAGAATTTTTATAAACTCACACATAGACACATTTTATGAATGAACTCATGTTACATACCAATAGTTCATGAAAATTTTTTCATTCAATTCATGATGTATCTAGTATTTACATAGTGCTTCCTATATAAACACTTTAAGAATTCATTTAATCTTTGCAACAACTCTGAAAGATAGGTAATATCTCAATTTTACAGAGGAGAAAATTGAGGCATGAATAGACCAAGTAAAATGCCCAAGGTTATACAGCAAGGAAGTGGCAGAAACAGTTATTCACACCCAGGTCACCGACTCCACAGTTCACACTCTTAACAACTGGGCAACACTACCACTCTCAAAAGCTAGAGGAGAAGTAGAAATCTTCACTAATGAAATAATTTTACATTAAATACACCCCACCTCACTGTTCTGACATCATGACGCATAATTAGAAGTTGACTACTAAACTATGGGAAGACTAATGAGCAATGGTAGATAAAAACTTTTAATATACAATTGAAGTCATTAATTTTCAAACAGACATCAAAAGATTTATCTTATAAGCGCTTCAGTGAATATTTTATGGCAATGTTAACAGCCCTCGAAAAAAGTGGTAACATTATTAGATCACAGTAACATCAAATAATCACAAAAGGACTCTTTCATGTGAATAATGCCATCATACATTTTTCATTTATTTTTCTTCCTGGATAGAATTTTTCAAATTTTAAACATCATATGCACAAGAGTAAATAATAGTTACGCCCTGAGTACCCTAAAAATAATCAAGTCATCAGCAAGCTAAATCACAAGTGAGAGAAATTATTCCTTAGTAATTAAGAAAAACATTTTCTTAAAGTATCAGAGTTAAGGGAAAAAAAAAAAAAAAAAAAAAAAAAAAAAAAAAAGCATGGCCTGAATCACAAGTACAGTAGGAAAATACTATTATCAAATATTTTTTCAATGCAAGTATCAGTCTTTCCATTTTCTCCCTCAATGAGACACTATTTATTTACTGTTAAAACTAACTTGGAAAGTAACTGAAGTACTACTCTATCTAAGTAAGAGTCAATCAATGAATGGGTAAAGGTCCATGGAATATGGGTGAGTTCAAGTCCTGGTCCTTTCCTTCCTGTGTTCTTTGGATTACTTATTGTGTATGAGGACAATTTCCCCAGTTTTTAGTATGGGTAAAAGCAATACCTATCTTCAGGAGTTTGCTGTAAGGCTGAAAGTAACATGAGACACAGTGCTTACCCCAGTCCTGTCTCCAAAGCTCGGCCACAATTAGATTTAATACCTAACTCAAAATACTGAATGAAAGCATTCACTTACACTAAAGATTTCATAATCCAACTCACTATTTATTTTTAACAGCTACTCTGAAAATATTTGGGCTTAGACTCATTAAAAATTTGTTAATTTTATCCAAGTAAAATGTTCAAAATTGTTTTTGAAACAACCTCCAACAGAGTAAATTAAAAACCCATCCCTTCCAATTTTCTTCTCCTGCTCCTGTGGAGGCAACTATGTTTTTAACTATTTTAGTTATTTCTTTGAGAGTTACTGCCTTATCTCTAAAGAATATTCTTATACTGGTATTATACATTTTAGACATTATTCTGCTGACTTCCTGTTGTTACTAGGACTCAACTTTTATGTTTAAGACACCTCCTCACCCTCCATCCTATATTAAGTTTTCCTTTCTTAGATAATTTCCAGGGGGAGTTACTTAATGCCTTCGCTATTTGTTCTCTATTTGTTAAGATGATATCTTTAATTTCCTCCCAGTGTTTCATTATATCAGGTAATCAAGTCCTCCTTTTTAATAGAGACTTCAATTCCTCCATTCTGCCTTCTACTGACTACCAGCATCTAGTGTTAATATGGAGAAGTCTGATGCCATTCTGCTTCTCAGTCCTTTGCAATAAATTATTTCTCTTTTGGCAACTGTTTGAAGATTGTTTCTTTATCTCTGATGACCCCTTTGATCCTGTGATCCTTTTTAATGTAGAGCCTTTGCAGCCTAAGCACGTCCCATTAAAAGTAATTTGTTGGGGGGGCGCCCGGGTGGCGCAGTCGGTTAAGCGTCCGACTTCAGCCAGGTCACGATCTCGCGGTCCGTGAGTTCGAGCCCCGCGTCAGGCTCTGGGCTGATGGCTCAGAGCCTGGAGCCTGTTTCCGATTCTGTGTCTCCCTCTCTCTCTGCCCCTCCCCCGTTCATGCTCTGTCTCTCTCTGTCCCAAAAATGAATAAACGTTGGAAAAAAAAAAAAAAAAAGTAATTTGTTAGGTAGAATATATGTCACAACTGCAAGACATAAAAATAAGTGATGGTTTCTGTCAAGGATATTATTAGGAAGAGAAAACAAATACTACAATAACAACAACAGGTGAAATACTACCTTTGACATGAGATAAATGCACAGAATTTAGAGGGTTTAGAGGGTTCAGAGGAAAGAAAACACATCTGTTTTCAAGGAAAGAGCAGGGAGACACAAAAAGTTCACATAAAGGTGGGAGCATTTCTGTTGGAGGACTGAATGTGTGAGTCAATGACATGAAAGGGTGGCATCTGAGAAAGAAAAAACGAGCATGAATAAAAGCACGGTATCAGGAAAACAAAGGCTGTATTCAGCGAATACTGACCATAGCATCAAGATACATGTAGGGAGAAATGGCAGGCAGATATACACCTGTTAAGGTTGGCTGAGCACGGAGAATCTCAAACACCCGTGCTAAGGAGTCTGAAATTACTATTAGATCCAGTTAGCATTTTGCAAATTACAATTTAAAATTAATAACTATTAAAACAATACTAGAAGGAGAAATGAATTCAGGTTCAACTAACAGTCATGAAAATGGACTTACATATGATTAGATCTTCTTCCTCTATTTGTTTTCTTTCCTATGACTGGAGTGCCAAAATGTTCAGGGTTGGTGAGTGGGAGCTGGTCTAATGTCTGTGGGTAAGAACATAAACCCAGCACAGTTATTACGTTGCAAGTTCTTTTTCCTTTTTAAACCAAATCAGTTTAATATGCTTAGATTTTAAGATTAAAAACTGCCCCCAAGGAAGACTAAAATACAACTTTCCTAAAGATTGAAACTGTCATTTCAAAGATATTAGAATCAAGATGAATGAGCCCACTGCTGGAAAAAAAACAAAAAAGAAAAAGTGAAAAGAAATTTATTCTTCTTTCCACATGGTTTCGTTATCTATTTGAAAGCTGACAGACTTCTAAGAATGATTAAAATACAAAACAGACACTAGAAAATAGATTTCAGAGATAAAAACCTACATGTAAGGACCTAACACCTAAACTGGGACCAACCGCTACTCAAATTTCTCTTTGTTCAAAGGGAATCATAATCCATAATATAGAATTCTTATAAGTAACAAAATCATCCCAAAAAACGCATCAATTGCTTGGAAAACAGCTTTAGATAGGCTGTATTACTACTTTGCAAACATTTTCTACAATAAACCTTTTTTTTAAAAAAAAAAAGAAAACGTAGGGGCACCTGGGTGGCTCAGTCAGTTGAACGACCCACTTTGGCTCAGGTCATGATCTCACAGCTCGTGAGTTTGAGCCCCGCATCAGGCTCTGTGCTGACAGCTCGGAGACTGGAGCCTACTTCGGATTCTGTCTCCCTCTCTCTCTGCCCCTAACCCACTTGCATTCTGTCTCTGTCTCTCTCAAAAATAAATACACATTTAAAAAAAAAAAAGAAAAGAAAAGAAATGTAAAACTTAGCTTTTCTACATTTAATTTCCCCTTCCTTTTTAATCTGCAACATCCAATACAGTGCTTGGTATGAAGACAGTGATCAATAAGAAAACATTTCTTCTTGTCAACTGACAGTTCACGTCAAACCTTTGTCCCTCACCCCATTCTAAAACAACGATTTCCAGGTGAGGAACTGGTTATTGATTAAAAGCAGAATGAAGAAAAAAGGGATTTGGGAATGATTCCCTTCATTTCTCAGTATCCAGTATTTCTTAAATTTTTTTGCCATCATTTCCTGAAAAGGTTTCTGTATCTAAAAAATTAAGGTATTGATCTAAAGACACTATCCCAACTAACTTCATTCTGAGTATCAGTTTTGATAATATTCCTACTTTCTCTGCATTTTTAAGATCTTTTACACAAGTGCTATTGCTTTCATCACTCCAGTAGACGCTCTGCTGTTACAGATAATGTCATGAATGCCAGGGGAACTAAAGATCCCAGAAAAACTGTCAGGATGGACAGAAGGGTGAGTAAGTACTTAGGATAAAGAGTTCTCAAAGTTATAAACCAGGGTGTTACATGAAAGGGTACACACCAACTTAGATTTTTTTTTTTTAAGATCAGATAGCTAAATATAAACTAACGTTAATATTCAAAAGGAAATTTTTAATTTTTATTTTTAAAACAGGTAATTTTGTCAAAACGATGAACTAAAATGTGAAAGGGGCAAGCATATTAATAATCTATGGTGTTTTAACTTGAGTAAATGTATTTGAGATACATATAACTAGGTGTCCAACAACAGTAAAAGGTACTATCCATAAAACATGAAAAATAATTCCTTCAAAAGATAGGTTTATAGGGCATAAAACCTAATCCTACAAATTTAGTTTGTTTAAATTGGGCACTTAAAAAATATTTGGAGGCAAAGTTGGTCCAAATACAATAATCTGCCAAATAAAAACTCTTTAGAAGCCACTTGTCATTAATTCCTAACTATGCTTCCCATGGGCAAAAATTTCAAAGCACTATATTTGGTAAACAGAAAATAAATTAATCTGGGTTCACTTTCTCACCTTACTCCCCTACAACTGAAGTTGCTCTCCTGAAAGCAAAGATTTCTATTCAGTACTGTGATTTCTATTTCAAGCATCTGCTAGTCACTAGTTACAGGAAAGAAAATACCCAGGATTTCTGATTTCCCTCCCTATGTAATACTTAGAACAATAAGAAGCAGTATCTCTGTCCTTGGCCTCCAATCATGTCCAGGGAAATAGAAGCACGTCTAATTCAAGTGACAGAAAAGACTGAGGTGAGGGTAGAATCTGTCTTGTCTAAGCCTAAAAAGTAATAAGCAGAGACCCCCGGCTATATGGAAGGCTAAAAGAAAATTTCACAGGCCTGGGGGAAACATTCCTATATCTGTTACCTAACTGGGCTGCAGGAAATATGGAGCTGGGATTTTATCTCACTTTTCTTTAGTTTTCACCTGCATGTAGTAAATGCACAGAGAATACCAGCTGATGAAACTACTTCTGAATGACAGACTCAAATTAGGAATGTCCTCCAGAAATGCCCAAACACTCAGGCAATGGGCAACATCCTCACTAAGGTGGTTATGGTAGAACCAGAGATTTTAGTGTTGGAATTCAGAGGACTGAAGTGCTATTGTGATCTCCTATCATGGAAATCTCGAATTTAAATCTTCATTGAAGTATGTAGCTTATTAATGGAACTACTGAGCCCCCATACTGCCAGTATGATATGGCTTTTTGCTCAAAGGCCAAAGTTATTACCAATAACAATGCCCTGAGGAATCTTTCAAAAACTTAAAGATGCTTTTTTGAGAATATCAAAAATAACAAATTAAGGGAAAGAATATATAGATGGCATATTAAATACATTCCTGGCCACGTTACCACAGAACTCAATATATTCATAATTTTAAAATATCTGATTGATTAATGCTTTTTCTCCTCCAACAGACGGTAAATTACTCTCAGGATAAATTCCAGGGCTACTTGGCTTATGCTTGTCTCTAGTACCGAACATAGCACCTGGCTTAGGACAATGGTAAGGGACAGGACACCAATATTCCAAGTACCCGCCAGCAAAATATGAAATCTAACACATTTGGACACACATGGTAAAAGTGATCCTCCTAGAAGGTAAGAAGGATACATTGAGCTACTTGCTCATGTTGCTTCAGCCTTTACACTATAACTGTCTTATGAACTATAAAATTCTCCAGACAAAAACAAAATATTTTAGATATTTCTCTGAATTAAAAAAAAATAAGACACATGCCTTCACTTAGCAGATGAAAAGTCAAGTCTTCAAGCCCCCATATTTACCGACCTACTATACCTGTACACACGTTCTAAGGGAAATGAAATTATTTCTAAGAATTACATGAACTTCGGGTTGCTGGCTGGCTTGGTCGGAAGAGTGTGAGACTCTTGATCTTGCGGTCATAAGTTCAAGCCCCAGGTTGGGTGCAGAGATTACTTACATAAATAAAACTTAAAAAAAAAAAACAAAACAAAACTATATAAACTTATAAAGAATTCTGTTACTTCATCAGTCTGTGTAAGAAGCCAAATTCACTGCAAATTCTAAAGTTTATTTCCTGTATTTGAACCTTCACAATTAATTCAACAAATATTTCCTGAAGGTTTTTGTGTAGAAAACTCTCCTGGGAAAAGAAAAGCCATCAAAATGACAAAAACATGGCTATTAACTCAAACAGCTTAAAATCTCACAGAGAAAATAAGAAAAGTAATTAAAAAAAAATCAAATAAGAGTAAGAGAAGCGCTGAAGGATCAAACGCTAAAGGGATCAAATTTGGTTAGAAATTTGTCATGGAAGACATCATGGAGGAATATTAAGAGGAGCAGTGCTCAGCAGAAACCAAGAAATGAATTTGAACCAAATTCTGAAAATACCAAGTAGTCTTATAAGACAGAAGGACAGGGAAATGCAGAAATGAGACACCTGGGTGGCTCAGTTGGTGGAACACACAACTCTTAATTAATCTTGGAGTTGTGAGTTCCAGCCACTATGGGTGTAGAGAGAGAGTACTTAAAAGTGAAAAGAAGGGGCGCCTGGGTGGCGCAGTCGGTTAAGCGTCCGACTTCAGCCAGGTCACGATCTCGCGGTCCGTGGGTTCGAGCCCCGCGTCGGGCTCTGGGCTGATGGCTCAGAGCCTGCAGCCTGTTTCCAATTCTGTGT